CCCTCCGCCTCAGGCTGACTGGCTCTGCTTCGCGCTGACTTGCGACTCCGAGACCTGTCGCCTAGGCAACCCCCGACGCGCGCGCGGCCGCCAATGAGGGGAAGGGAAGGCGGGGTGGGGCGGAGCCAAGGCGCTGGTGCAGGGTCCTGGCTCCAGGAGACCGAGGGTCCTGCACGCTTCCAGGTGCCTTCCCTCCGCGCCTGAGCCCCAAAGCTCCGTGCGCTCTACACCTCCAGCTACAGCGCGCTTTTGTGTGCTCCTTCGCTCACCCCGGAGCGCCAGGTCCCCGAGACAGGAACCGAGAGTCGAGCGGGTGCCGCGGCTGCGCCCGGATTGCCCGCAGGGGCAACGCCAGCGCAGGACTCAGAACCCTGGACAAATGACTGTCGAGGGGCCGTCGAAGGACAGAGTCGCTCCTGGCCATTCACATCTAGCTGCGTGCGACCAGACTCCTTCAAGGGGTCACTTCAGGATAGTTACTCGGAATAGTGCTCCTCCCTGGTCTCGCCTCCCCTCCGCACACACACTGTGGGGGCCCATTACTCACTAGCGCAAGCATACTAGCTGGGCTCCAGGTCTGTGTGGCTGCGAGTGGATAGATAACAAACAGGGCATGCAAAGCCCTTGAGCACCACCAACGACCACCACCCTCATCTCTTCTTCAGTGCAGACCCCACCATAGCCGTTTGTTCTTCTTTGGCTCCCTCCAATCCTGCTTTGGGAGCTCCTAGGAGAAAAGCTTCCTTCCATTTGCCAGGAAGCAGGCAAGATGCTTCCTGAAATCACAGACCAGAAAGCTCTCCTCTGTTCTACTCTGGAGCACACGGGGTCGTCATGACTGGAATCAACTTGGGAAACCGGTTTACTGTGTGCCCGGCTCTATGCTAAGAGCCTTGTGTGTGATCCCTGAAACAGCCTAGTCCACAGTGCACTGCACTACTGAGGCAAAAGCTGCACCTTGCTGGCAGTTGAAGTCCACCAAGCAGCTCCACGGTGGAAGGAATGGTCAGTCTTCTATACAATTTCCCCACCTTGGAAACCCAGTGGACAGTCAGTTATGAGTCACTTGTCACTCGTTTCAGTGAAGTTTCTTTTGAGTATTGGGCTGCTAACCCAAAGACTGATGGTTTGGATGCACCAGCAGCTCAGCGGAAGAAAGTGAGGCAATCTCTTCGAGATTTACAGTCTTGGAAACCTATGGAGGCTCGCTGAGTTGAAATCAAGTAGAAAGAAGTGCTTTAAGTCCCCCTCAGTGCACCAGGTCTACAGATCATGTACTAAGGCCAAGCAGTTTGTGAATGGCTGAGGTTTGACACCAGTCTGTCTGTCTCCAGAGGATGGGATCCCATTGTACCTGAAGACAATAAACGAAACAATGGTGATCACTCAAGCCCTGGTGATCAAATTTCTACAGTGGAGCTGGTACTGTGTGTTCCCTCTACTTCTTATGTCAAAACAAAACTACTTGGAAGTGGGTGAATAATCCTCATTAAAAGAGGAGACATGCAGAACAGAACTTCAAAATCTTATGGAATCCAGATTTCCTGGAGTCATGGAAGTTGGATAAATTCCCAAAACAATTCTCTGAGAATGATATTCTTAATATCTTCCCATAACTTATCTTGTCTTCATTCATTAGTGTTCAAGGCCTCAAACTTGTTCCTGAAGATTCTTAAATTCAGCGGGGATAAACTCAAGATCAAATTTTTATTCCTGTGGATGTGATTTAACTAACCTTCTTTAGCTTTAATTTGAACTTGCATATCAGTAATTGATGGTCTGTTCAATCTATACAATCAGAACCTAGCCTAGTTTTCACTGCTGATACTAAACTTCTCCAAACATTCCTTCCACAGATGTAATCGACCTGATTCCTGTGCATACCATCAGGAGATATCCATGTGTATAGCCTGCGTTTATGTTTCTATAAAAGGTATTTGCAATGAATAAATCATTGATTGTGCAGAATTCTGTCATTCTATCCCCAGCCTCATTTCTGTCAACAAGTCCATATTTTCTATTGATCCTTCTTCCTGGTTCTAAACTTTTGTGTTCCAGTCACCTACTATTATGAATTCCTCTTACTTACATGTTCAGTCGATTTCTGACTGCAACAGTTGATAGAAACCATCTATTTCCTCCTCTTTAGCTCTGGTTGTTTGTGCATAAAATTGGATGATAGTGGTATTAACAGGTCTTCCTTGTATGTCAATCTAGAGACTTAAGGTATGCCTAATCCAGGCTATGGTCTTCACAATTACTTGCCTGAATCAACAAGCTGGACAAAGACTAAGGATGACAGAAGAAGAATCGCTGCCTTCAAGTTGTGCTGGAGAAGAGTCTTGAACATACCATGGACTGCAAAGACAACAAATAAATCCGTCTTGGAGAGGGTGAAACCAAGTTTCTCCTTGGAGGCTAGAATTCTGAAGCTCCATCTCACATACTTTGGGCATGTGGCCAGGAGGGACCTGTTCTTGGAGAAGGATATCATGCTCAGAAGGGTGAAAGGACAGCACAGGAAAGGAAGACCTCCTCGGACAAGATGGGTTGATACTGTAACTGGGGCAATGGGGATTGGTGCGTTGGGATTAGTGAGACAGGCTCAGGCCAGGGCAAGGTTCAGAGCTGCTATACACAGGTGACTGGACAGCACATAACAACAACAACAACAACAATCCTCTGAGATCATCTCTCAACCTTAAACCAAAATTATCCCCTGATGTCTTCTTTAAACAAACAAGTAAAACTCTGTCTGTTGAGTTCCAGCTTACTGTTGTTGTTGTTGTTGTTAGGTGCCCTTGAGTTGACTATGACTCCTAGAAACTCTGGAAACCTCAAATCTAAGCCTCATTCTAGCCTCACAATCTCCAGCATGCTCGAGCCACTCTTACAGTGTCAATTCAACTGATGGATGACTGGCCTCTTTCTCTGGCCCTCCCTCTCTCCCAGCTTGGTGCCTTTTCCCAAGGACTAGCCCGTCCTGATAACACGTCCAATTATGTGAGACTAGTTGCACTTTGTTCAAGGCACTTGTTTGTTCTTTAACAGTCCACGGAGTTATTCAGTACTTTTCCCCAACACCACAATTCAAAGGTCGCCCTTATTTGTAGTTCAATTTCATTGTGACAGAAGAATTCACAATTCTGTCATCCTTAGTCACTGTCCAGTTTCCAAGTGTATAGGAAACAGTTGACAATATAATGGCTTAGATCACACCTTAGTCTTTCGACGGACATCGTTGCTCTTTAATACTTTGGATAGGCCCTTGACAGCTGGTTTCCCCAATGCAGCATTCCTCTTGATCTTTTTTAACTGCTCCTGTCATTGATTGGAGGACAACTTTACACACAGTGAAACATACAGCTCTTAAGCCTACATGCTGATGTGATTTGGCCAATGTGCACCTTCATTTAAGTTCTCCATTACCCCAGACATGCTCTGGTGCCCCTTTTAGACCCTTTCCACCACCACGCTGGCCTCTGTCGTCATGAAATTTAACAATTCACTGTGCTTTGTTGGTGTTACGCCCGGCCTCTTTCATGCACGTTGTGTACCGTAGAGTCAGAATCGACCCATGGGTCACCCTCTGGTGGGTTTCCAGAGGCAGTTAATCGCACGGAGGAGATTGCCCATCCTTCTTCCATGGAGCAGCTGGTGGCCTTGAACCGTGTGCCTTCAGGATTGTGGCGCTGCTTTTTGCCACTAGGCCACCAGAGCTTCCCTACTCCCAATAACAGTGTGTTGGTTGAAGGAACGGAAGGGAGACACAAATAGTTAAGCGATCAACCACCAGATGACAAGCTGACAGTTCAGATACACTCAGAGGTACCTCAGGAGACAGGTTAGCCGTTTGCTTGTGAAAGGTCACAAACACTGAGGAGCTGCACTCCACCCAGGGAAGGCCGGCCCCTGGGGTCAGAAGTGACTTGACAGCAATGAGCAATGAGTAAGGACAGAATGGAAGGACCAATCTGCAGCACTTGTCAAGAGCCAAGAATGAACCGTGGACCCTGGCCCTGAAAAAAGAGAGGCTGTTAGGCCTAGTAGGGGTCTTAGACAGGGACCGAGTGGAACCCCAGCTCTAGACCTGAGTGTACTCGGGTTCCCAGCCCCAGGGCTGCCAAGCTCCTTCCAGACCTCCCTTAAGCCCTACAGCCAGCTGCTCCTCCTCTCCTCTCTCAGGAAGACTTCTTAGAAGAGGTATCATCTCAGAGTCCCGAAAGCTAGGGAAAGGACAGCCCGGCTGATCAGATGAGAATGGGAACGCTTCCTCTTTCTGCCCCCTAGAAGTTTCCTCAAGGGAACATTCGCTGAGGAGGAGGGAGCTCAGCCACCCACCTCACCACATGCTCGGAGCTGGCACTGTCACCCAGGCAGCCCTCCTGGCTCTGTGAGTAAGAGCAGGAGCTTCCGCACCCTGCCCCAAGTCCTGCACCCAGGCCCTGTGCCCTGGGCCTGCGCCCTGCCCTGGCCGTCCAAGCCCTATGCCCTGCCCCAGCTGTCTGAGGCTTACACCCAGGCCCTGCACCCCAGCCCTATGCCCTGCCCCAGCCATCCAAGCCTTGCACCCCAGCCCTGTGCCCCAGCTCTGCCCCAGCCCTCTGAGGCCCTGTGCCCTGGCCCTGTGCCCTACCCTTGCCATCCAAGCCCTATGCTCTGCCCCAGCTCTGCGCCAGCCCTCCGAGGCCCTGTGCCCTGGCCCTGTGCCCTGCCCTCGCCATCCAAGCCCTATGCT